CAGAACTAATCTTCACTGAAAAAATAGACACAATTATACAATCTAGGGAACAAAAAGAGCCAAACATTAATGGGGACTTACTTATTCAGTGATTAATCTAAAACTGCCCATGGTACTGAATCAGGAGTCCTTGGGCAAACATGTAATTAAAACAAATCTTACAGCCTAGGTGAATATACGAATGTCTTTAGGGCTGAATTTCGTGCTTTGAGCTTCGTGCTTTTCATTAATAAAGTTCTAATTGGAGACTCCAAAGTAAAAAAAATCAACATTTATACAGATAGCCAAACGGCTATTTTGGCCATAAAGAACACACTCACAAAATAAAAACTAGCGAGAAACTGCAAAGATTTCCATAACAAGCCCGCAAAAAGGAGCATGTGAATGAACGACCGGATTTGTTAAATAAACAAGGCTCGAGAAAAACCTTTGGAGGCCCAGGACCATTGTGTAGCATTACCAAAGATGCCGCAAAAAACGAGGTTCAGAAGTGGCTGCTAAATAGTCACCAAAAGAAATCAAGAGCCACTCAAGACAAATCCAGGCAAAGAAAATAATCACTGTTGATGAACCTCAATCTACCTCAATCACCTAATCACCTAAAGTCATAAGAAGAAAAAGAAGAAGAGCTCCTTCAAGCTTCAAGTTGAATATTTTGAGAACAAACAGAGAAGACATAGCAGAGACATGGATATCGTATTGCAGGGACCTATATAAAGATGATCAACGCCACGAGCTTGTTAGCCAAATCTCTGACGAGGTGGAAGAAGAACCTAATATACTCGAAAATGAAGTAAGACAGGCTATCAACAAGCTCAAATATAACAAAGCACCAGGTCCAGATATGATAACAGCAGAGATGCTTAAAGCCACAGAATTAACCGGCGTAAAGTTACTTCATCTACTCTGTAACCAAATATGGCATTCCAAACAATGGCCTGTAGACTGGACAAAATCTACAATAACGACCATACATAAAAAAGGCAGCTTCCATAAATGCGACAATTATAGAACTATCTCTCTTATATCCCATGCCAGCAAGATAATGCTACATATAATCAATGAGAGACTGAAAACATTCCTTCAAAGAGAAATTCCACAAGAGCAAACTGGATTTACCAAAGGTAGAGGTACTCGAGAACACCTGCTGAATATAAGACAGATAATCGAGAAATCTAGGGAATTCAACATCCCACTATACATCTGTTTTATAGATTACCGTAAAGCGTTCGACAGGGTCCAAGTGGAGACACTTATGGCGAATACTAAAAGAAGTAGGCGTACCACAACATCTAATTACGCTTATAACCGAACTATATGAACACACTACTGGATCATTAAAGTACTTGACACACTTTCGAACGAATTTCATCCAGAACGGGGTGTCAGACAAGGAGTATACTATCTCCACAATTATTCAACATATATGGGGAGTATATTATGCGAAGAGCACTTGAAGGATGGGAAAAGGGCATCTCAATAAATGGTCATAAACTAAACAACCTACGTTCGCAGATGACACAGCCCCAAAATATGGAAGGACTGTCAAATTTCAAGAGCGATAAAGATGAGGTTGATCAACTGCTTAATATTCCCAATACTGACCTACGGATGTGAATCTTGGACTCTGAGACAATCGGAGAGAAAGAAAGATAGACGCCACTGAAATGTTCTGTTGGAGACGAATGTTACGAATTCCTTGGGACCGACCGTAGAACAAATAATTCAATTTTAAGAGAGCTAAAAGTTAGCCAACGACTCTCTAGTAAAGTTCATCTCCAACAATTAAATATTTTGGCATGCTATGAGAGCAAACACAGAAAACATGGAAAGACTCATAATACAAGGAAAGGTAGAAGGCCGAAGATCACGAGGAAGATCCCCAACAAAATGGATAGATCAAATTACAGGAATATGCCAAAGACCTATGCATGAATTAAAAGAAATGACCAGAGACAGAGATCTCTGGAGACGGACAATACACGACATCACGTCGACTAGTACACTCCCCCTGAGGGGTAAGGATTGAAGAGAGAGAGAGTATAAGCTTATGCATTTGTCCTACTAGCTGTTCGCCACCTAAATTATATACCTCAGAGCATACGTTATCAACAGCTGGATCCTTTTTATACTTTTATGCTCATATTGCTTATTTTATCTCTTTCACCGTCCTTGGTTCTTTATTTTATCTCTTCCATCGTCGATGATTCTATATTTTTTGTGTCTTCACCAAGATGATGCTTGTCCATGTGCTCGTCATTTTCTTGCGGCCGTAAAAGAGTTTGAAAATAGCTTTTCCAGACTGGTTTTATTTCTTTTTAATCGCTGGTTATCTACCCTTCTTTATTTTTTGTATAGATTTGTTGCTTGGAAGATTTTCTTCCATTTTCTGTATATTCCCGTTTTCGTATTTTGTTTTCTGTTCGGCATATTTTATCGACCGTCTGTCTTAAATCATTGGAGATTGGTCTTTTTTCTTTGGTTCTATTTTTCATATATTTCTTGTATTCTTGATTTCTTTTCTGTATGGCCTCTTTACACTAGTCATTAAACCACTTTCTGTGTTTTTTCTTTTTGTTCTTACCTTCAGATCTTTCTTGCTACTTCAATTACTTTTATTTTCATTTCTCTTCAATGTTCGTCGGTAGACTGTGTGTACTTGTCAGTGTTGGTGTTATTTTTTCTCAAAGGTCTGTTTGATATGTTGTCTCAATTTTTGTATATCTGGTTGTTCTGTTGTTTGTTTCTGTTTGTCCCTCCTGTGTCTCTGAATTTTACATATGTAAAATTCAGAGAAAGTTTTTATTTTATCTGTACTAGGAGATTGTCAAATCCGCAGATGCCCCTCTATGGCTCTTCGTATCTCGTATGCTTATTGCGTCTCTTTTTTTTTATTAAGACATGATGAATTTGGACGGAATTTTTTTCATCAAGCATAATCCATGTCACTTTTTGTATCGACATCTTTGTATATTTGTGTCTTTGTAACTATATGTCGCGATGTGGGAAAACAATTGAGCTTCTGAGCATATTTTGTCTTCCGCCATCAAAGTTTATTAGTACTTCTCAATTTCCATTGGTGTTTTGATGGGATTAGTGCTTACTAATAGTTCCTAAGAAAAGTTCTTTGCATATTTGAGCATTTATATATCTTAATACGAATGTGATTTAATTTCTCGGTAAGCTGTCACTGATTTTGCCGTGTATATTAATGATAGAGAAGTTGAAGAATTTTGTTTTTACTCATAGTTTACATATTCTCTCATTCTTTTTGTATTGTTGCTAGTTTTATTTTGTATGTTCTGAGCTCGTTAAATAGCAATACCTGTGCTCCTGGTTTATTCAATGTCAGAACGTTCCATGTACTAAGTGCGTAGCCGATGTTTTCTGCTTAAGCCTTCCTCGATCAGAACGATCTATCCGAAGCTTATTTAAAGGATTCGTGGTTTTGTACTTTTTACGATAACTCATTGCCCAACCTTTGCACCACGCTGCGTCAAAAAAGCACAAATACTGTCAAAGTATTGTAGCCATTTCTCAGCTAACCAACTTATTTCCACCCAAAGGTAGTGCTCGAAATGAAAAAGGTAGTATTGTCAAATTCACTGAGATTTAATATGGTATCAAGCACCTCCTGTTTGCTCAACATTGTTTCTTTAAAGTATTTAGCAAGACATTAACAATTCAAATATTTAAGGCAAATGGCAGAATTAAGTATAATGCTTTGCTAAACTTTTATTTTTAAAAGTTTCATTTTCATATTTAAAGTAATTGTGTAAGATTATAGGTATAAAGAATGAAGTTCCCTTTGCTGTATTCATGTCTCAAATAAATGAAAATTGAAAATTCTTTTCAGTAACTATTCAGTAACATCGAAACACGATATTTTTCATAGAATTTGGCTGTTTACAAAGACTTATTTGAAGATGCAATGTCCCTTAAGGAGAGTTTATGTAAATTCATGGATAAATCACATTTTATGGAGTATAGTAATAACATAAGCAAACAGTGCGTCTGGTCGACGTCCACACTCTGTAAATTCTAATTTCGTACTATAACACAAAGAAGCAAGAGTTATTACTCTAAACTAATCAAATTCTCAACCACATAATATATGTAGAGGGCAACATCCCGGAGGACTGGCCTAGGAATCGATACTTAGGAATCGATTACCTCTACCCAAAAACAACAATCCCAAATAATGTAATGACTATAGATTGATAAACCTAATGTGCCATCCCTTAGAAAATTGTTCAAAACCGAATTTATAAGAAATGTAAGGAGCAGATAGATCAAACGCAGTTTGGCTTCAGAGGAAGCATGGGTACAAGAGAGACATTATTTGCGTTGACGGTACTCTTGCCGAATTGTCGAGAATATAACAAGAGTGCATATGTATACTTCATAGACTTTAAGAAGGCCTTTGACCGAGTGCAGCATATGAAGTTAATAGATGAATTAAAAACATTAGTTTAGACAAAAAAGACATTGAGTTTATTAAGGCTATATACTGGAACCTGAAAGCAGTAGTAAAGGTGAACGATATAGAAACAAATAATATACCGATTGTGAAAGGGGTCGGGCAAGGATGCGTCTTGTATCCGACGATTTTCAACAATAAGAATTGGTGGAGAAATCGTAAACACCATGAAATTTGCAGATGACACAGTAATTATGGCTAAAAGTATAGAAGCACTAAAAACTTTACTAGATGCAATCAATAGTGAATGCATTCAAATGGGCCTTGACATCAACACAGATAATACCAAATTTATGATAGTATCAAGGAGTCCAATAAATATTGAACTAACCCTTGGTGGACAACAAATAGAGAAAGTGACAAAATAGAAATACCTGGGAGCTAACATAACGAATAGAAATAGCAGGGGCAGCGTTCTTAAAATTCAAGCAATTGATATGTGACAAAAATCTGAATGCTACGCTGAGACTGAGGTTTGTTGAATGTTACGTTTGGTCCCAACTATTGTAGGGGTAGAAACATGGACGTTAAAAGAGCAAATAGAAAAAAGCTTGAAGCCTTTGAACTTTGGATATACCGGATAATGTTGAGAATTCCATGGACTGCCAGGGTCACCAATGAGGAAGTGCTGAGAAGGATAGGTCGAGACAAAAAATTGTTGAGGACAATAAAAGTAAGCAAGACTGCATACCTTGGACACATACTGAGGAATGATAAATATAGACTTCTGCAGGTCGTCAACAGGGTAGAGTCGATGGCAAAAAAGAAATATGTAGAAATAGAAAGTCATGGCTGCGAAATATTCGAGACTAGACAAAGATGACTGTAGACGAATTATTCCACGTTGCAAAAGACAGAGAAACTTTTAGAAATGTATATAGTCGCCAACCTCCGTTAAGTGGGCGGCATAGGAAGAAGAAGAAGAATCAAACTCGGCGTCCACACTCGGTGGAGTCTAAATTTGAACGGTGTACTAACTTATTGTATTCGGGGTTTCGGTATAAAACTACCTGGTAGAATTATTACTTACAAGAAAAAAATATTTGACCACCAGTGGTTCGACAGAAATTTATCCAAGTATTGCTCGTTGATTATGTAGATATTTTGAAAATGTACCCATGAAATTATCTCATACCCATAAAATGTGACCAAAAAGTTCTCTGTCTTCTCCCATTCTCTGCAACACCATTTCGTTGCACAGAATGTGATCGTAATATAATCTATCCATGGTATTTTTAAAAGTCTCCGTTCAGAAGCTTCTAACTTTAAATCAACATTAACAGTCCAAACTTCGGCGCCATAAAACAGAATAGAGTGGATATAACATTTTACCATTCGATATTGAATTTGCAGATTGCGTCTTTATCTTCAGCAATCTAGACTCCTAATTATTTAATTTTCTCCACTTGTTTGATATCTTCATTTTTAATTTGGAGTCGTATTATGACCTTACCCGTCGTATGTCGTGTATCATAATTAATCATCATTATGATTTGTTTTATGTTTCTTTATGTTTATTGTTAAACTGAACTCAGTATCGCAAATTGTGTTTCGTAACGTCTGCAGGTTTTTTTCATTTTCAGCCATAATGACTGTAATATAGTCAATCATAATGATTCCAAATTCCAAATCATAATGATTTATTTTCGCCTTTTAATACAGTTTCCAAATGCCTATATAAATAATTCTTGGGAAACTATATTAAATAGTAATGGGGAAAATACACAGCCTTGTCTCACTCCTCTGCTTATCTGTTGAGTATCCGTGCTATTTCCATCTAATTCTACCACATCATGAATGATATGCTTAACTTTGTCCAATTTATCGGCTAATAAAAAAATAAAAGATTGTCCGGTTTTTTTACAAACACATCTTGCAACGCTAGTCTTAATATATAATATGTAAACATTTGTTAAAATAATACTATTTTCTATATGATGTACGGAAATATGTAATATGTTTGATTTTTTAAACTTTTAGGTGCGTAGAATTAGACTTTTGGAACGGCCGAACAGAAGAACCGGTCATAGTGCACGGTTATACGTTCGTACCCGAAATTTCAGCAAAGGAAGTACTAGAAGCCATCGCCGAAAGTGCATTTAAGACTTCCGATTTTCCTGTGGTGCTTTCGTTCGAAAACCATTGTAATCCAAGGCAGCAAGCCAAAATTGCTAACTACTGCCGAGAAATATTTGGTGATATGTTGTTAGAAACCCCATTAGAAGCTTACAAATTAGAACCAGGTATGTATTTTAATCAAAAAGTATATAACATTATAGTTGCACCATTAAACAAGTTCGTCATTTAAATTTTATTAAAATTACAGGACAAAGTAGTTCCTACTTAACTATTGTGTAAAAACATATTAATCAACATAGGAGTTTACATAACTCAAATATTTATTTAAATGTACTGGGTTTATATTCTAAAACGAGATAAAGTTAAAATGCAAATTTGTCAATTATTTGAATAATTTAAAGTATTGAAATAATGTATGTTTGTAAAATTTGTTGGTTATATTTGATGTAGTCTGTTTCATTTCTCTCTCCAGTGCGCTGGACTGTGGAATCTCATGGTGTTGTGTCTCACACTTGGGTAAATGGTTGAATAAAAACTGAAGTGTTACTCTCACCGTGGCTATAAAAATAATACTTCATGTCAGTGCAGCCCGAATAGATTTCTTAAAGTATCTCGTAAATATATTAGGGCGTTGTCTACACCACAGTATTAGATTCTTTTTCTTCTTCTCCTTGTAGTGCCTATTCGTTTCGGATGTTGGTGACCATCATGGCAATCTGAATTTTGCAAACTGCGGCTCTGAAAAGATTTACGGTTGTTGTGTTGTTATTATTAGGATTGCTTCAAGTTTTCATATGAGAGATCTACTTGTTCGCAATTTAGGCCTGCCTGCTCCTGGCTTGTGAGTTGCGCTTCCTGTTTTTCTTTTAACATCTACAATGCAACGAATAGTTCTGCAAAAGACGTCCTAATGAACAACCATTTTGTGAAATTATTTAAGAAAATCTTCAAATGCATTTCGGTTGGAGTAAACCCATTCTCCGTTAATTTTTGGCCATTTCTAAAATGGATTTCGGGCATAGGTCGCTTTTGTTTATGCATGAAAACTATACTTGTCCTTTCCCGGTATTTTTCACATGCTCCCGCTCTTTATTTTTCTCTCTCTCTCTCATTTTTTCTTGTTCTTTCTCTCCCCCCTCTCTATTTATCTCTAGAGATCTCACTCAAATCTTTGACCTTGTGTGGCTACTATATTTATCATACTATAAGTATAATCTTTATTTGTATTGTAGGTAATCCATTACCACCGCCGTCGGCGCTGAAGAGAAAAATAATTATAAAAAATAAAAAGAAACACCACCACCATCATCACAAACGAACTGTTACTCCCCCTGAAGCACAAACTGGCGAGATTGGCGAAGTTGGTGAAGCTGCTGAAGTTGCCGAAGCTAATCAAAATGCTGAAGTTGTCGAAGCTAATCAAATTGCCGAAGTTGTGGATGCTGTAGAAAATGCTGCTGACAGTTCTGAAAATCCTGAAACAACAGAAAACGCGGAAATTACTGAAATTGTTGAGAATACAGAAAATGCTGGAACCGCAGAAATTACTGAAAAACCTGAGAGTGTCAAAAACGGAGATGTTACCCAACGGGCACCTAAACTTCAAACCAGACAGGTATATTTATTATTTATAAAATATTTACATACAAGTTAATACGGTAAATCTTTGTTGCCTTTTTAAAACTCCGTTCAATTTAATTACTTTTTTGTTAACTAAAGAACCTCCGTAACATACTTGAACTTTGTTTTAAACAGCTTATTGACACCAAACATCCAGACAGATAAATAATACCATACGATAAGGGCTATACCATGCTATATCAGGCGTAAAGAAATAAACGTAAAAAACTCGTTTGGACAAAGCAGTCGATACTTTCGGACTCGAAGGACCAAAATGCAGATCGAAGGACCGAGATATGGACCAAAAACGAAAACTAAATATTAACATTACAGCTTAGAGCTACAATTATGCTGTCTTTGTTACAAAATATATACTGGAACTCGACTATAAATCGTCGAAAACTTTGTCTTTTTTTTAAAGCCAATTAAGATTCCAGTTTTCCTTCAACTGAGATAATAAATGTATTAATGCATTTTTGTCAAATTATTTATGCTTTCAATAAATAAAGAATAATATAAGCACTTATTTTGTATAGGGTTCCAAAGAATCTACAGGTACGGATTTCGATGGTTCATTTAGTGACGAAGATGGCGATAATGCCGAGGCCGGCGCTCCTGCAGAAACTAATGTAGAAGAGAGTGAAAATAAAGCTCCCGCTACGGAAACTGAAGCTGGAGCTGAAATTTCTGCGCTAGTCAATTATGTACAACCTATACATTTCTCAAGCTTTGAAGCTTCTAAAAGTAAGTGATCAGATATTTTTGTGCCTTTTGGAATAATTTTTATATATAATATGTAACCAAAGTATGTGAAAAGACTTGTCTTATGATATTATAAAATACTCTGCTTTTGTTTTTAGAAAAAAATCGGAGCTACGAAATGTCATCGTTTGATGAAAAACAGGCTACCTCCCTCCTAAAGGAATACCCAATCCAGTTTGTCAACTATAATAAACATCAACTCAGTAGAGTCTACCCTGCAGGTTTCAGGTTTGACTCTTCCAATTTTATGCCTCAAGTATTTTGGAACGCTGGATGTCAGCTGGTAGCTTTGAACTATCAGACCTTAGATTTAGGTAAACAGATTTTAGATATTTACAAACATTTTTATCCCTGATTTTCTGCATGTTATCTCTCCTTTTTAACCTTTTTAGGAGTAATGTCCTAAAGGAAATATAAATATATCTTAGAGCTCCTATTATATCATATTACTGTACATTCCATTATTTATTTTCTTAATAATTCAACTATTTTAGTAATTATGCCAATATAAGTGTAGCGCCGAGCAATAACCAGGCTACAGCAGCTCACATTATTTATGTTAACATACTATGTATTCATCTTTATACAATTTACTGTAATATTGAAAATCACACATACAGCATAAGTGAAGCTTATGCGTTAGTGAAGTTTTGGTGGGCTATTTAGAGATCCTGTATTTATATATATATATATATATAATATATATATATATAATATATATATATATATATATATATATATATATATATATATATATTATATATATATATATATATAGTGAGCTAAAAGTAGAGATATACGACGTAAATGCAAGGTAGAGAACATTAAGAACTGAGTAAGAAATAGAAGCGTAGAATGGAACGATAGTGTAAGCCTAATGACAACAAATATAATAGTAAAGACAGCAAGAGACGAATCCCTAATAGAAAGACGGTCAGTAGGAAGACCACAAAAACGATGAAACGACAACTTACTGGAGGCACATTACAAAACAGACAAGAGTCATGTCTACATAAAAAGAAGAAGTACTCAGTACTGTACTCCTGTACGATCCACTATAATTTGGTCTAGGATAGCCCAAAATAATTATGTCATTTTTTTTAAACTGTTTTAAGAGATTTTTTTAAGAGCACGGCTGGCACTTGAGTCGGTTACCCCTCTAAGTTTCTGCTAACGTCTCTGTTTAAATCTCTAAAGTCACTTCTGAGATGTCTACCCTCGACGATAGAATATCTTCGTTAAAAATCGAGTTGCTGCCAATATATTGGCTTTAGAAGAAAAGATGAAAGAGATGGAAAGGAAGATAGAGGAAACAAGGGAGGAGAGAGAGGAAACAAACCAATTACAGTAGAAACAAATGACGACGATACGAAACGTGAGTTGGGAACACGCTGTTTGTGTTAAAATGTCAACTTCTGACATAAAATCGTCATGGAACAACTATAAAAAACAGTTCCAATCAGCTGCAAAAGCGAATGGATGGTCCGAAACAGAAAAGGCTGTAAACCTGACTATTGCTCTTCCAGGAGATGCCTTGGATGTGCTTCAGACCATAGTCATAGAGACAGATGATTTCGACCAACTTAAAGAGAGATTAAACATGCGATATGGTCACGAATGTCTGAAACATGTCTACCAGTCGCAGTTTAAAAATCAAAGATAAAAGAGATAAGGCTCTTCAAAAATATGAGGTAGATATTGCCAGGTTAGTACGATATGCTTATCCAACAGCTCCCAAAGACACGTTAGAAAAGTTGACTATTCAAGCATTTATTGATGGTCTTCGTCATCATGAAATGCAGAGAACATTGCGATTAGCTCGTCACAAGACGCTAGTCAATGTCTTGTCTGCAGCTCTCGAATACGAATCAGCTACGCTGGCCTTTGGCGGTTACAGTCAAGTTTGGACTGTAAAAGAGGAGAAAAATGAAGTCAAACTTGATCAGCTTGTTAATATGATGAAAAGCATTGCATCCAAGAAAACTAAGACCATAAGCTGCTGTAATTGTGGTAAGAAGAAACACGCACGAAGTTTAGGTAAACGCCCTAAAGACAACACAAATCAAGAAACTCATCAGCTGAAAATACCCAGGGAGGAGGTTCGACCAAGACCTGTTGCAAAGACCATCTAGGACTAATAGCTTCTTTGAAATGTCGGGAGGATAGTGTATATGTAGATTGAGAAATAAATGGTAACAAGCATACATTATTGGTGGATACTGGAGCGACTAGGGCCATTATACGCCCGACAGTTATATACAGCCGTAAGAAACTTATAGTGACGAGATTGCTACCGCGACCCGCCACAGGTGAAAATGCCAATGTCCATGGAGAAATCCAGAGGGAATTAGGAATTGGAGCAGAAAAGTTCGTCCATACTGTCATCTATGTCGTCTATGCTAGTTGCTGGCATTAAAGGGGATGTTATAATAGAATGGACGTAATAAATTTGCATGGATTTCAATTGGATTTTAAGAATAAGGCAATCAAAGTTGGTAACGAGGAGGTATTTCTTCATCCACATGATGACATGACTGTGCAAGGACCGGTTAAAGAAGATACAGTTGTACCTGCCAGAAGGGAAACGATCATAATAGCGCGACTATAGAGAATTGTGGAAAAAGAAACACATGTTATGATGGAGCAATGGAACCATGATAAGGAGGTTGGCCAAGAAATCATAATTGGAAAGGAATTGGTGACTTCTGCTAAAGATATTCCTGTAAGACTTATCAATATCAATGTCTACCCAGTAACCATCAAGAAATAGACAAAAGAAGGAACCTGTGAAACTGAGAAGTCCATAATCTATTAGACAACAACATCCGACAATCCATCGACAAATTCAACCAAATGGTTGCAGTTGCTGCCCAGGTAGAGAAAAGGAAATTAAGGGAATTTCTTCGTACTACGGCTGTATCGTGACATTTTTGGTACCAAAAGAGGAAACATAAGAAGAACTGCTGTTGTTAAACATAAAATTAATTCTGGTTATGCTAAGCCAATGTGTTAAACAGCTCGACGATTACCACAGACGAAGAGAGAGCAAGCTGGAAGGATTGTTCAGGAAATGAAGAAGGACGGGCAGCGTGATAGAATCTTTTACCAGCCCATGGGTTTCTCCTTTGGAAGTCTGGTAATGTTGGAAGTCTGTTTAAAAGAATAGCTTTGGACATTGCTGGGTCATTTCCAGAAAGTGAAAATGGAGGCAAAATGTTGGTCGTAATGGATTAATTTACGAAATGATTCTAGATGTACGTAATTCCAGGCCAGAGGGTCACCACTATTGCAGATGTGTTGATCAAAGAGTACATCAGCCGATTTGGAGTGCCTTTGGAGGTTCGTAGTGACCAAGGAAGGAACTACGAAAGCGATCTATTCCAGAGAATGTGTAATAAAGTGGGAATTAAGAAAACAAGAACTACATCCTATCACCCACAATCGTAATGGTAGAGCGGATGAATAAGGCCCCATAATATTGGAGCCAATACCTACCGTTCTTCGCAATGACTTACAGATATGCTGTTAATGAATCGACGGGTAAAACGCCAGCCAAAGTCTTTTTCTGACACGAGATCCGACTACCTTGTGATCTAGAGTTTGGATGTCGCCCAAAGAAGATGTAGCTGGTGAAGATTATGTGAACGAATTGCGAAGAAGAATGGACGATATACACATATAGGCCACTGGCCTATACCATGCCGCCCAGTATTTGAAAGCACCAGGGTTGGCATCCCTTTTTCGAAGGAAGTTTGGTCGAGTTGCAGAGCTTCGGTGCCAACTACCAGTCCCTAAAAAAGCTTTAAAATTCCAAGATGTTAGAAGTTCGCAATGACTTACAGATATGCTGTTAATGAATCGACGGGTAAAACGCCAGCCAAAGTCTTTTTCTGACACGAGATCCGACTACCTTGTGATCTAGAGTTTGGATGTCGCCCAAAGAAGATGTAGCTGGTGAAGATTATGTGAACGAATTGCGAAGAAGAATGGACGATATACACATATAGGCCACTGGCCTATACCATGCCGCCCAGTATTTGAAAGCACCAGGGTTGGCATCCCTTTTTCGAAGGAAGTTTGGTCGAGTTGCAGAGCTTCAGTGCCAACTACCAGTCCCTAAAAAAGCTTTAAAATTCCAAGATGTTACCTTTTACATCACATTACCTGTTCTATCTGGTAACAAAAGACACTGCCAATGACCAATCCACCTACTAAGATGTATGGGAAGCATTACTTCAATTGAGAGAGCACGTACTGGAGTCCAACTTGCGAAAGTTAGCCATGTTAAAGCTAGACTGCCGTCTATTGGATTAAAAAGTTGTCAAAAATATGATGGAGTCCAGTTTTTAAAATCCAAGGTTTCAAGAGGAACCACCTCTTAAGGAGGGGACAATGATAGCTGTAAACGACCCTTATCTTCATGAACATAACCGTTGTTCAAGATGCGTCGATTGAATATAAACAATTATATAAATACTAAACGGACTATATAAATACTAAACAAATTTAGATTTTAATTTAATTTGTGATACAAATTCTTTGTTGTTGTCCGAAAATAAATATTGTAAATAAACATAAATTAAAGTAATACAAGAATATAATATCATATTTGATAGTCCATAGTTATCGGAATGCGATTTAGTGGTACAACTGGACAAAAAAATTAAAAAAAAAATATTTTCTTAAAAGCATAGCAAGCGCAGAGCTCTAGGAAAAAAATAGGCTTATATTAAGAAAATTTTTTACTAGTAGTTGGTGGTAGTAATAATACTAATATTGTATAATACAATTTAAATATAAGTTAATATTTATATCATTTTTTTCAGCTATGCAGTTAAATATAGGAATATTTGAATACAACTTCCGAAGTGGCTATCTGTTGAAGCCAGAATTCATGCGACGCACAGATCGAAGGTTCTATCCATTCGCTGAGTCGACTGTGGATGGTATTATTGCTGGTACTGTAAAAATCACTGTGATATCTGGACAATTTTTGACTGATAAGAGAGTAGGGACTTACGTTGAAGTAGAAATGTACGGTTTGCCGGCCGATACTGTACGGAAAAGGTTTAGGACGAAGGTTATACCTAATAATGGAATCAATCCGGTGTATGAGGAGGAACCTTTCGTTTTTAAAAAGGTAAATAATTTATTTTATTAACTTATCTTTTAAAAGTAGACATAAAAATGTCAATCATAATCGATATATCCAAATATTTTTCCAGGTTGTTCTACCAGAACTTGCATCAATCAGAATAGTCGCCTACGAAGAGTCAGGAAAATTTATTGGACATCGAATACTACCTGTAGTCGGTCTCTGCCCTGGTTATCGGCACGTCAATCTACGCACAGAAATAGGACAACCTCTTCCCTTAGCAACACTATTCTTAGAAATTGTTGTTAAAGACTACGTACCCGACGGCTTATCGGACTTTGCGGAAGCGTTAGCAAACCCAATAAAGTACCAAAGTGACTTAGAGAAACGAGCACAACAATTAGCAGTTCTAACAGACGACATGGAACCCACGGAAGGCACCGAGGAGCAAAAGAGGAGTACGCTAACTAGAGTATCTAAAGAAATCACGACCAATGGCAGCCCGGTACAAAGACCTTCTATAACAACAGGAAGCATATCAGTTGAATCTACAACTGATAATGAAATTCCAATCATACCAATGGCTATTTCTACTTCAGTTCCAGTTGAAAACAACAGCGTTAGTAAGCCCGTTGAAGTTAAAGACGAAAAAGTTGAAGAACTAGTTGCGGATTCAATAGAGAAGATCTTAGAGAATAAACTAGTTAAAGAGAAAAAGTTGGAATTAGATAAAAAATTGGAAAATTTACGAAGGAAACACGAAAAGAAAAAGATATCGCTGAGTTCCCAAAAATCTGCTGACTTTTCCGAGAAGAAATCCAAACTGGCTAATATTAAATTAGTCAAAAGATTATCGAGCAAAAATATGTAAGTAGAATTTTAGTGTGTTGCCATTTTAAATTTACAACTGTGACCCTACATTTTTTGTTGAAATCTCTAAGACGTTGTGAAAAATGGGTTGCAAATTTTCCAGTTTACCGTTTAAAAAATATTCCAAAAACTTTATAACTCAGGTTGAAGATCAAAAACACTTTTTTTGGAATATCACCAATCTGTATGGTGTTTTAAATGAAGACAAATAATAATAAGGTTTCACATATCGATATTTGTGCAATTATCATCATCTATGTGGTTTTGTCTTTACTTAACAGTATTATACATAACAACAAGGAATAAGGTGTTCGTCTATTAAATTATAAGACTAATGCTGCTACAATAGAAGTACGCATGCACCAAATACCAGCGACTGTCAGCTATTTAGCGTGAGGCTTTCTCTAGCAACTCCTACACTCCTTCTACTTCTGTAAATAAATCTGTATAGTCGTAGCATTCTTTTTATTATAGTGGTTTTCCGTTTTTTTTGTAAAGTGTAAATATTTGTTAAATTTCACACGATAATTTCTACATGAAGAAAATCGCTATTTAAACTAATAATTTACAGAAATAAGAAATAAGTATATGGCAATGAATCGTTATTGCACGTGGTGTTTTATCCTTTCTACTCTCCCGAAGTAAATGTTATATTTACTTTACTTTATTACTTACTTTATTTTATAATTTGAAGCTTTATTAGTTTTATGTTATCGATGTATATTCAGTTAAAATTATACATTTATTCAATGTAACTTTTACAAAAGATATTTGAATGATCAGAACAAATAAACCTCTTACATGCTTTACATCTTGTACGAGATTTTCTGTCTTTTAACCATCCGCAGTCTTTACACCTTTCACATTTTGGACTTTCATTTGCATAAAGCGCCAAATTTAAAATATTATAAAATAAGTAAAGTGGCCACCTTCTAGTTCCTCTTTTGCAGGTATAAGCTGACGCTAATTTATCTGTTGTATCTACACCTCCTTTGGTTCTATTGGATTCTAAAATAATGTCTGGTTTCTTATGTTCATGCAATACCACCTGGTATTTTATATCTGTAATGAAAGTATTTACCTATAAAAGCTTCTAAGTCTTTCAGTGATATTTGTTTTACAGTTAACATTTTTTCATTACATATGCGACCACGTTCTCTGTTAGTTTCCACTAAGAGTAAATTGAGTATTTCATCAGTGAAAAACAATCTCATTAAAGATATAGGTTCATCGGTAATTCGTTGAGTGGCATATCTGGTGATACCTGGCACAGGGTTTAGTATATTGATGGATCTAAACAATATACAATGCAATTAGTAAAACCAACAAATTTATTAAGAAAATATGTGTAGCACTTGAGCCACCACTTACCTTACACGTGACTGAGGTGGTGGATATTTGTTCCACACGGTCCCATTGCGAGCAGTATATTGTAAATCTCTTGTTTAGGAGTTTCTATTTCATTTTCCGAATTTTCGCTTTCATCTTTGTCATCATCAACCGTAGATACATCTTCTTCAGAAAATTTTTTATCACTAGTGACGGTTTCTAAATTGGTAGATTTACCTTCATTTCCTGAGTCTTCTTCAAAGATTTTTTGTAATCTCTTTTCCGTGAGTCTTCTCCTTGAGCTCATTTTCAGCAAGCGCTTATTATTCTGTTTTTTTACAAATGATTGTACACCACACCCTCAACTCTAAATGATCAAGCGATCAAGTTCTGGTACAACACTAAAGGTACTCGACAAATGCTTCCAAAACTAGAACCCATAAAATCTAATCACCTTTCTCAAAAAATAAACAAAATGAACATCACGTACATTTGGAAACACTTCTGAGTACAGGTGGACCCATAAACAACATATATGTTTCTTTCATTTCAAAGAAAATTAAACTGATATTTCAAAACGCAAATACGTTAAATTGTAAATAAACCTTATCTTAAGGCGCCCACTCACCAAGAAGGAAGAATGCGCAATTAAGTATCTGCATGTTTGCTGTAAGGTAAAGCCGTACGCTACACGCCGGCATACACCAGCACTTTTGCCTTCAGTTACGGTTAAAGTGAACATGACGTCAAAAAACGATCTTTTATTAATGACAGTGGCGTGTGTTTATATTAAAGAAAGGTGTCGTATTAAAAGAAAACCAAGGTCGCAATGGACAAAGACTTGGTTACAAAAACGAGCTACGTACTCTTATGTCAGTTTACTGGAAGAATTGCGACTGGATTCATTAGTTTGGCATAATTACTTGAGAATGTATCAAGATACATATTTTGAACTATTATCTTTAGTAACTACTTTGATACAACAACAGGACACGCGAATGCGGCAGGCTATAACGGCACATGAAAGGCTAACTGCAACATTAAGATTTTTGGCAACGGGAAGGAGCTATGAGAATTTAAAATTTTCAACAATAATTTCAGCTCAGACATTAGTTTGAATTTTTCCGGAAACATGTGAAGCAATATGTCGTGTATTACAAAAGGAAAAATATCTCTAAAATTTCAAGTAAATTTTTTGTATAATATACTTTTAAGAATGTTTTTATGAAAGAAAAAAATATTCAATACGTTTGCAATAACATATCTCGTACATATTTCACAGCTCGTAATATTCACTGTAAATCCGAGATGAGAATGATAGCTGTTCCTCAAATCTCAATTACCGAGAATATCGTAATATTTACTATATAAACACGTTTTGTGGGACAGCGACAGTGAAATTGATATCTGATACTGATATAAATATCTGGTCATTGATCACCTTTATCGAAGTTAGTCAGGAACCACAGTTATCGTTGATTTATAAATCACCATCGTTCCATCTAATAATATGTAATTAATAACATCTATGGAAACGTTGTTTTCTTAAGTCATATTTGACAAGGTAGTACGATGTGCATCTTGATCTTAAACAAATAGCAGTAAATTGTAATACCACAATTTAGGTACACATATAATTATATACCTCTTTCGAGCCCATACCGGATATTTTTTTATTTACTTTTTTCCATTCTTTGCGGAAGCTTCCTTGCATTGTATTGATTTTTCTCACTACACTTTTTTTCGATGCATCAGGTTTGACTTCCCTCATTTTCTTAATTAGTTTTTCGTAGGCTTTTTGTGACGATCACTGTATGCTTTGTTTTTAATCTGCCATAAACAGGGATAACTTTTGTATAGCTCTACGAATTCCATAATAAACTCTCTCGACATGCACCTTATATCACTCATGGTTTTTAATTAAGTGTTTGTTTTCTCATAAAATTATAAACTGCTTTATAATATGCAACATCTAAAGAACAGTCGTACAGCAAATTAGTAGTGATTGAAAATGAAACATGCAGAGACTTGTTGCCCATACACTCTCGTTCTTCCCCGCGCGATGATAATTGCACACGCTAAAAATCAAGACGATCCTGATTTTGAGAGGCTTGATTGCGCATTCCACATTTTTCGCAATAATACACACACACTTTTAACTGTACCCCGTGCCATGCACATTCAATCATTCGCGCTTCCTTCTGAGTGAGTGGGCGCCTTTAAAGATATCATTAAACATCACGTCTCAAATATACGATATAATAAATATATAAACATTTGAATTTTACTACCGGGTCCAGGCGTACCCAGAGATAATACAAAGGTTAAGGTTGAAGCATTGTCAAGATGGCCGAGAAAATGATTTACACCGTTTTGACACTCTTCTGCGTCAAAACGAACAACAATTAAAAAACAATAGTCTTGTGTGGTCTGAACGTCGTCGGTTAAGTATATTCGTGAGATTGCTTAAATGTAGGAATTATATAATAATGCATACGATAGTACTCTCATACGTAACAATGGAAATATGCAAAATGGACCAGAGCTTTAAGGTGGATTTGATCCGATTGGCATTCGGATTTTTGCAGAAATAGTTAGATGATTACTTTAATAATAATAATTAACTTAACCTTCCCTCTCAAGTAGGTTGAAAACATTAATAAAAAATTTAAATACACACATCAAAATAATCTAGGGAACAAAAACAAAATGCGAGATAACAGAAGGATTTCTTAATAAGAAATAATTTATTACAAATATTTTTAATACCAAGTTATAAACAAGTGTCCCAAATATAAATTAAATATCTTTTCTTAGAATTATCGCACTAGCTCTTAATAAAAATAAAAGAGTTCCATGAGTCAAAAAATTGCAAAAAAAACTTATTAGTTGACCCTCATATTCCATCAAAGTAGTCGGTTAGGCTAGTATAATGTATGACTTCCACGGTTGTTGGTTACTCTCCTACATCTGTTAGGTAAACTCATGATCAGATGGTCATGCTGTGGTATTCTGTTCCAGTCCATTCAAAGGACTTTAAACAGTTGCTGTCTTGTACCCAACGCAATATTTTATTGTACAATGCGTCTGCTCAAAATGTCCCATACATGCTTAATTGGGTTTAAATTTGGCGATTGTGCGGTCTATGGCAAAACCTCAATTTTATTACCTTCGAGGAATATTTGTACGACCCTGGCAGTATGCAGCGTGCATTGTCGTGTATTATTTGAAATTGGGGACCAGCTTGTTGTGCAAAAGGTACAACAGTAGGTTCGAGAATAATATCGCGGTAGTATGTTGCAGTTAGAAATTGTTCCAGACAAACGAGACTGATTATTCCACCAAGAACTATGCCAAACCATACTGTTATACTGCAGATAATAGGCAATGAAAGAAAACTATTCAATACACTGAAAGAAAAACCTCATACCTAGGCCACGTACTGAGAAATAATAAATATCAATAGGTATGCTCAATTAAGAGTGAAAGGAAAGATCTTATGAAAGAGAGGACTGGACAGGAAAAGACTATCGTGGCCAAGAAACATCCGACAATGGACAGGGTTAAATTTTGAACAGCTAATAAGAACAACTAAGAAGTTTGCAATTGTAGTAGCCAGCCTCCATTGAGAAGAGGACACTTTAAAAATTATGCTTTAACCATCCCATCTTC